CCTTCACAGACAATGTTTGCCTTCCCCAGTCTAGATTCATCAGTTGTTAATATTTTGCTACATTTGCTTTCTCTTCCTTTCTCTTTATGGAAAAAAAAAGTGCAGTCCCTCTCTTCTCCTTGCTTTCCTCCCTCCCTTCTTTCTGTTTTCTACTCTCCTTCCTCCCTCACTCTCACAGCCCCCCATTTTTACCTGAGCTGATTGGAAGTTATGTTACAGATATTGTAGACTCACCCAAATAATGTATATTTATGCACATAAATAAAAGCAGCCTCTCTTGTAGCTGTGTTACCACCTAAGAAGTGTGGTATTATTCAATTTGTAGCCAATACTTAAATTCAACTTCGAGCCTTGCTTCCTTTTAGATCTAGCTTCCAGTGAGGGGTCATGCACTGTGTCTTCAGCATGGCTCCTTAGTCACCCACTTTTGTCTTTAAATGACATGGGCTGTTTTAAAAAGTGCTTTAAAAACTTCTCGTAAAGATTACCATGTGTTAATGGGTTTGTGAACTCTGCACTAGTCAGAGTGAAATGCAACAGTCCTCATAGTAAATTGGTGGCTCCCACTTCTTTTCTCTTTGGTCTGAGACATTATTAGACTATTTGGCTTCTGAACTTAAAATGTTAAGATGTGGATTGTGCTTGAAATTGCAAATGTGGGAAAAATCTTAGTGTGAAGAGCCAGGCAGATGAGAATTTTCGGAATGTGTTTTGTGTAATTAAAGGCGCAGTCCCTGCCTGGTCCAGTGGCTGTACTTGTCAGCTCTTGGCTTGGTGGCTCTTCCTTCTGGCTCCTCTCCTGCCTGGGCCTGGCTCCCCTCCAGCGTCGTTAGGTTGCAGCAAGGAGCTGGAAACAGACCTGCAGTTATTGACATCCTCCAGCCGTAGTTGTTTGGGCTGGCTGCAGCACGAAGCTGTCATGTATGCAGGCTGTGGGCTGAGCCACGGTCAGGCTCCAGAGCAGTGTATACCCCTGGAAATGCTCAGAGGAAGAGCGCCTGCTTGCTTTTTCTGAGAATCTAGGGAGCTACCTGAGTCATGCTTCTACAATGGACAGGGGTCACAAGTCTTGTCCTTGATTGTGCCTTCCCATGATTCCTAGAGAGTAATAACACCCATTCTTTTGTTTTCATCTGCACAAGAGGAATTCAGAGCTTGCAGGCCAGTCCAGGACACTCATGTGCACTCTAAAGATGCACCTGGGCATCTGTATGAGCCACTGTCTTGGTCTGGGGTTGCCTTGTTGAGTAGTTAAAGGATTTGCTTACTGTTCCTGAAATGGAGAAATACCAGTGAGGGGTGCACTTTTTATGAATATGGTTGCCTCAGATTGGTCAAAGGTCAGAGCCAGGGGTGCCTTTGAGGGTCTCAGAGCCAAATAATCAAAGAGGGTGGGGTGTGTGTGTGTGTGTGTGTGTGTG